CGGGAGCCCGGGCCCGCTGCGGTCTGTGGGCACGCCGCGCTGCCACCGGCGGCGAGCGCCTGGGTTGTTCCCGGACGAAGGAGCCCGGTGCGGAGCGGCGGCTTGGCTGTCAGTGGCTTTCCCGGGATAAACTGCAGGGCTGGTGAAATAAAGCCGAAGGTAACTTTTGTATCTGTAGGGAGGTGGATTCGACAGATTCCTTCCCTGTCGTTTTAAAAGTGCCGTCCTGTTTTGCTGGTCAGAGAAGTGCTCTGTAAATACTTAATGGAGTTGGTGACATTACCTGAGCCCTCCTACGATATCATCCTGCCTTAAGGTGCTTATAACCTTGTCAAACTCAGACCTCTGCGGAATAAGACCTTGAACGTGTGTTTTTCCCCTGTGTTCTTAAAATAGTAGACTGATTAGAGGAGGTTTTTTGAAGGAACGTACTAATGGGTTAAGATGTAGTAACCTGTTCTTTGATGAATGCTGTTTTCACATTTTCTTTCTGATCTGGTGTCAAGACTAGAAACGAGAGCATGGTGATGGGGTGATGTGTTTAAAGCATGGTAGTACTGGCAGCGTGTCTTTTACTTCACTATAACTGACCAAGTTAAATCTCTTGCCATTTGCATATGCTTGGAAAGATTGGAGCTTGGTTCTTCAGTAATTTCACTACACCAGCTTTCCTCCCACTCAGAGCTGATACGGTGTTGGTACAGAGACAGAGGATCTCATTCCTTGTGTCTGCAGTGCTCCTTTTGTCATTAGGAAAGGAAACCTCTTGTGAATTAAATTAAGGAAGTTCAAGAACCATAATAGATTTCAGTGGAAGCTGAAAAGAAGCTGGAAGTGAACAGGCAAGGATCTAGGAGCTGTGAGGAATGGGGGTGCAAAAGCCAGGAAGAAGAGTTGGGTGAGGAGGCAGACTGTCAGAGAGGAGCAAGGATTGCTGAGCAAAGGTGCATGCTCTTCTGCTCTTCTCATTCTGTTGTAGAAGATTGCAGTTCACTGAGGCTACTCAGCAAAGATGGCCAGGAGCTGGGAAAATGGGGGCTAGACAAGAGGGGAAGGAAGCAGATGGACAAAGAGTAAGTGCGTGGGGAGAATGCAGGGCTTTCTTACTGGGAGAGCATAACTGTATTTTGAGTAAGAGCTGCAGTGTGAAGATAAAGGAGTGAAAGACTGGGATTTGCAGATGTTAGGCAGGGATGAGAAAGATACAGTGCTGAGTGAGAGGTATGGTAGACACCAAGTCGGAGAGAAGGGAAGCTGTAGATGCACTTGGTGGCTAGAGAGTACTCCCACCAAAGTCAAACACTTCCAGATCTCATCGTCACTGTCAGCTAAAATCGATGAACCCCCTGGAAGCTCCTCTGTTCCCCTCTAGTACAAGCATGCAGAGAAAAATTACAAACTCTTATTTTCTCTCTCAGCTGTGTGGTCCTGCATGGATGCATCTCCTGCTCATGCTGTTGAAGGTGGATATCAATGTGGTGGTGTAGACTGCCATTTTAAAGGTGTTTTGTTTAAAAAAAAGTAATGTGCACAATCTAAAAGTACTTTACAAAAATCTGGCTACAAAGATGTCAGGAAGAACAAAGCAGTCTTTGCTGCAATAGTTTAGCCTTTTTTGCATACACTTAGAGCTCTTAAGGACTTTTCAGTTTTGTCTGGTGTCCTGTATAGTATATGCAACATTACTTCCCTTTGTTAACTAATTGTAGGACAGTTGGTGTGCTTAATCTAGAGTTTCTTTCAGAAAAGCTCATCATATGAATTGTAATACTTAGAGTCAAAGAGCATCCATCTCAGTCTTCAGTAAATTAGTTTGCTGATAGGCTTTCCTGTCATGGTTTTGTGACTTTTGTCTGTAGTTAATTTTCACAGTTCCAATATTTAGTCATTGCACCTAGAACGCCTTTTACCTGCCATGTTGAAGTGTCCCCTTATTAAAAGTTTCTTCCCTGGTGTCCTGGTTTCAGCTGGGACAGAGTTAATTTTCTTCCTAGTAGCTGGCATTGTGCTGTGGTTTGGATTTAGTACTAGAAGAATGTTGATAACACACTGATGGTTTTAGTTGTTGATGAGCAGGGCTTACACCAGTCAAGGACTTTTCAGCTTCCCCTGCTCTGCCAGGTGCACATGAAGCTGGGAGGGGGCACAGCCAGGACAGCTGACCCCAACTGGCCAAAGAGGTATTCCACACTGTATAACATCAAGCTCAGTATATAAACTGGGGGGAGTTGGCTGGGGGGCAGTGATTGCTGCTCAGGGACTGGCAAGACGTCAGTTGGTGGGTGGTGAGCAGTTGTATCACTTGTTTTTTCCCAGGTTTTGTTTCTATTAGTATTAGTATTATTATTAAATTTATAATTAATATTCTATTTCAATTTTTAAACTGTTCTTATCTCAGCCCATGAGTTTTCTCACTTTTGCTCTTCTGATTCTCTCTCCCATTCTACTGGAGGGGGGAGGGTGAGCAAGTGGCTGGGTGGTGCTTAGTTGCCAGCTGCAGCTAAACCACAACACCTGGGTAGATTGTAATTGATTAAATCTTAACCTTCTTTCTGGTAACTTAGCAAAAAAAAAAATTTCCTGTGATAACTTATTTTTCGGTTTTCTAATTAGCCGTCTTGTTCTTCTCCAAGCCTGCTCTAATCTTTTGACATCCTACTTGAAGTTCTGACTCTGAAAATACATACAGTCCTTTAGTAACCAGTCTTCTTCATAGGTACTAACTAAAGAAGTCAGGTTATCGTTCTTGTGTTGGGTATGCCCTTATCCCTGTTTGCCATTGCGTTTCAGCTCGGAGCTCATATTCAGGTAACTATCTACCATGATACTGACATGATACAGTCTTTCCGTTTCTTAGAAATGCAGTCCAGCATCCTTTATCCATCAGTTATATTGCTCATTCCTAAATGTGTTACCCTCCATAAGACTTGATGGAAAGTACCTGTTTGCAGCCGGGCTGTCTTTTGCTGTCCCAGTGGTCTATTCCTTCCATTCTCGTTCTTCCAGTCTGTAACTCACTTCCAAGCAACTGACTTTTCTTTTGTTGAATTGAGAACTGCTTTGTGTGTGATTTGCATGAGTAGTGCAGCTGCTGCTGATAGTTCTCTGTAATGCATTCTAAAGCCTTATGTAGCTGTTTAAAGTACTTTTAGTATATCTTATTTTGGTGGGTTTTTTATTCATTATGCAAGGTACATTCTGATGTTACATTGAGTATTTGATGCAAGCTGTAGTTTAATGACTTTTAAAAAATTATTTTCACTAATGAAATGTATATTCTTACCAAAAAAGGTCCAGTCAGGCAAGTTTTTTTTAACACTTAATCTACATTTTCACCCTCGTTTATTTCTTTGTGATGATCTCAGATAAGCTATTCCATTTCTTTTTGTGCCTGCCTGACAGCATTCAGTTTCCCCCTTGCTCCTTCCTCCCCCCCGCCTTTTTTTTTACATTTCAGTATTTTAAAAACAATTCAGTTTTAAAGTAGTTCACTAATGTTTCAAAACTTCCTAAAAATTGATACAAATAAATAGTCCAGAATCTTTGGTCAGCTCTTTTAAAAATGTCTAATATTTACATTTACTTCTTGGAATGGAATACTTTTAGTATTATAGTGCTAATGCAGACACATTTTTCAGTTGATTTTTTTTTTTCCTCCCACAGAGTTTCTCTTTCATATGGTTTACTGGATGGATCTGCTCAGGGAATGAGTGAGGAGTGTGTGATGAAAGAGGGCAGTTGTTTGTAGGACCTCTTCAAATCCTTGAAGAAAGGAAGGTGTATAATGAATTAAGTGAAGATTGTAGGAAGAAAAAAAAGTGGCCTCATGCTTGAGGCAGTTGAATACCACTCTGACAAAGTGAGTTTGATGTTTGTGTTTATTTTGGGGGTCACGCTTTTTACAGGTTCTCCTTGCATAGATTATGAGTGAAAATTTGTAGTCAGAGGAGCAGATGTGCAGGATGCTCATAGCTGCAGCTGAAGTCTGCTCTGAACAGATAATTTTGAATAGTCAGGCTATGTAGCATTTTTAGATGTTTCAAGAGTTGTGTTTGTAATTAGCTGGCCGCCCTGGCCTTAATCTCCTTGCCTCAGTAAATCTCTTGACCTTTATTTTATTGGTAAGGGAAGTGGGATAATCCACAGCGGCATTGTGAAAAAGCATTCTAATGTCACAGTAATGAACACCTTGGAAAGCTGATTACCAAGGCAATTTTCAGATTGAGGTTTGGGTTGTGTGTGTATGACTCTGTATTGAGCAAAGAGAATAAAATAAATCTTTGAATCACTGCTCAGTCACTGGAAATGAGAAATGCCTTGTATGAAAATCTCATGCCGTTAGGTAATTAAAAACTATATGTTAAAATGCACGAGTGGTCTGACAAAGCTGTCAGCCTCAATTGTCAATTAATAAATTTTTAGTCCCCTACTTTGGACATCTAAAGTTCTTTTCCAGGAGATTTTTTGTGGAATAGCCAAGTTAACAACAGTTCTGTTAGTAAAAGGGTTCTTCGCTGTTTCTTAGGTCTGGTATTTCAGTAGCTTTCAGGTCCTTGCTGTAATGTGAAACTGGGATTAGATGTGCCCTTGCCTTTGCTCTAACCTGTTAATTGCAAAGCATATCTGTCTGAAATGTGTTATGCTCCTAGCAGATGTTTTTGCAGCAGAAAAATATGCACGTTCCTTCTGTGCTGAGCATCCTGAGAGAGGAACTCCATATCTTGTCTACTCTGATCACCTTCCTTCCTTCATCCTACTGAAGCTGCCCCTTCAATGACTGCACTGAGCCAAAGGACTCGGGGAAGGGGAAGAGGAGGAATGTTTCTTGTTCCAGTTCTCTTCCTCCCAAGTGTTTTTCTTTGAGTATGGCTCTTTTCTCAGTTCTCTTCAGTGGCTGAAGTTAAGCATAAAAAGATTTCCATTTCTTCACATATTGTCTTCCTTCTGGTGTCTAAACCATTTTATGCCTGCTTCTGAGGGGAGAAAGCAAGATACTGAAGTGCTTTTCCTCACGCCAAGAAAGCAGTGCAACTTCAGTAGGGGAAAAACTATGGGTGTAAAGGAGTTAGAGATGTAGAAAGCAAGGGAGGAAGAATAAGAAGGAAGAAAACAATGTTTTGTGATGAGAAGATTGCATGTGCATGAAGACTTACTAGAGGGGTTTGTGCTTGCTCAAACTTGAGTTACTATACTTGGCTCAGTAGTTGCTCTGGTACTGGGTTAGAAATACTGTAGTGGAGGCTTTGAGGGGGAGAAAGGAAGGGTGACTAATACAGATTTTCCAGAAGATGAGATGCAAACCCTGAGTTTTCTTCATGTTTGGAATTTTCAAGAGGATCACAGAGCTTCTTTGTAATAGGCATCGTTGAAGTATATTCAGAAAACAGTCCCAAATAGTTTTCTACAAGTCTGCTTATATGTCACTGCGCCATGAGTGTAGGGATTATCTTTAAAGTAGAGGGAACTGCTGTGCAACCGCATATATGTTCTACCATCAATGCTTCCCTCTTTACACACTTAGCAGGTATCAGAATAAAGTGAGCATACCCAGTGACAACACACAAGTTTATCTTTTGTGGCAACAGAACCAAGGCGTGCACCTCTCCTCAACAGTCTGGTGCCTGAATTTATTATGTAATGACCTCTCCGCTCACCTACCTATGCTCTACTGCTGAGGACATGTCTGCCCAGTTGCTCGGATAGCTAAGGTGAATGGAAGAATCGTGTTTATGGGTGTGCTTTCTGGACCAAACAGCACCTTCCCCGCTGGTTCCAGCCATCACTGTCTACCACGTGTGTTCCTGCCTGGACTGATGAGGCTGTTGCTTTATTTGCCTTGGTGAATGGGGAGCACACGTTGTTCCAGTTGGGAAGTGTGCACCAGACTGGAAGGAAGTTCAAATTTCCATATGGTTGAGCTGGTCTGTTACTGAATAAATGTCAGCATAAAATGTTGGTGAGGAATGGTAACAAAACAATAAAAAAGTGTTGCTATCATCTTCCCCCACCCCAAACCTCCGACGAACTAGATTCTGGCAACGTTTGGTCTAAATTAGTCCTAAACACTTGGGAGAGCTATCAGCCAAGGGCTAGTAACCTTGGTCATCTTAAGAGGTAGAAGGATGTCACTGGCCTGTGTGCTCAGATGGCTGCTTGATACTCATTCCGTTGTCTTGGAGGCCACCAGTCAGGACCTGTTCCAGAGGCAGACACTAGGACATACCTGCCTCAGTGAAGAGGATGATGGGGACAACAGGCTTAGATGAGGACTCCTCAGCTGGTAAGTTAACATGGTACTGTGTAGTAATTTTTTTGGGTTTTTTCCCCTTTTTTATACTGATTAGGGAGGCATCAAGTTTTCCTTTGCTCTTTCTATTTGCATATGTCAGTAGGCACATAGATTTGCACCAGTTCAGGGCTTGTCAATACTAGAAAACTTACGCCAACACAGAGCAACAGGGGCAGCATTACACCCTCTTGAAAGTCATTTTCTTTCTCCTACAACTGACGTGGGAATGTCCTTTCATTCCTTGATAATATTAGCTAACCCAGTAAAATAGGATTATTCTTTCATAATAGCTATATCTGTCTGGATTTTCCTCTGTATAGCTTCATCAAATGAAAGCATGATGTGTATCGTCATCTTAATACTCTTAGAGGACATATGGCTGTGATGTCAGAACTTGCTGTAGGCTAGCCCTTGATTCTTTCCCAGTCCTGGCTGCATTCCAAATTCCCCAGCAGTTTTTATCTCTCACTTTACCTACTGTCATTGCTCCTGTCCCCTCCCCAATGTAGCATGTAGCCATACCCCCCTGTTGTTGCCTCTAAAGTTTCTCACATCATACTTTAGATATGCAAATCTCTTAATAAATTGTTTCTATATTCAGCACTGGTTTAGTGTAGTGAAGGATGCCTTTCACCTTACTGAGACATTGGATTAGTTGCATCTGTGATGCAGCATACATGATCTATGGAAAATTACAAAAGATCTCACACAGGGGAGAGGATTTGGTGATTCACAGGCATCATTTGTTTCTGTGTGAAAGCTACTGGCACAGCCCACACAAACCTAATACGTTCATTATTGTTAATGACCAGTTTATATAGAATTGATTTTGTTATTGACTGGTATTTTTATCAGAGGTGACACAAGATGGCTTTACAAGACAAAGCATCCTGCATTTTCTCTCTGTTTCTTCATTTACCCAACAGCAAATCCAATGTCACCATTTTGGCAAACAGCTCTGTGATCTCTTTGGTGGTGGTCCCTGCCTTTGGAGATCTGTGACAGGCTGGAAGTGCCCAGAGTGATGCGAGTCTCATTTGACATGTCAGTCTTCTAAGTCCTCCAAGCTTCTGAAATCAAGGTTGATCTTTAACACAGCAATAAAGATCCCTTTTCTGAGACTTAACAATGTTGCCTACTGTCTTGGCTGTGGGTTATGTAGCACTGAACTAATGTAATAAGAAAAAGACAAAGAGACCTTCCCTTCCTGAGGAAAGGGTCCACTCTTTGGGGGAGTATTAGTTTCTGTGGCTGTTACGTTGACTGTCGTTGCTGCCTGATACTCTTTCTTTGGACAGTGCCTGAAGTAGATGCACGTGCGTGGACTAGTGTGCAGTGCACTGGCCCAGAGCCTGGGGTATATCACATGGCCACAAAATTCCTGGCTGCCTGTGGCTAAGTCAGTCTACCATGCACCCAAGTACCCCATTTGTAAAAACGTCGGTGGTAGGGGTATCCCTTACAGAGCTGTTGTGAGCATAGCGTTGCAGGCTAGGATGCGTATATTGCAGTAGGGCTGAGCCATACATGAATAGAAAGGTATATGTTATGCTCGTGCACCAATTTCAGTAAACTATGTAGGAGGATAAATAATTAGCTGAGAACACAGGACAGAGTAGAAGCAGCAGTTTAAAAGGGTTATACCCTTTAAAAGGAGGGATTGAGGGATATAAAAGACATCTTTCCCCCTAATGAGGAAGCAAGGCAGCTCCTCAAGATTGCTGTAAGCCAGTTGCCCTGCAGTATGCTTCAAATGCTACAAAATAATGAGAATCACAGGGTACCTGGAAGTCCTATGTGCTTCCCCTGCAAGATCCCAGCCAATTTCCTCTCTCAGGGGGCAAAGAACTTACCCTCTCGTTATGGCAGTCCCTGGCACAAGCAGGATTTTTTTAATTACCTTCAGCAATGTGGTGTTTAAAGTGTTTGCTGAAATCTGTACTGTTCAATAAAGCAACCGTGGTTATGTTTCAAAATGTATTTTCACATTTTTTTTAATAAATTTAAACGTGCACCTGGACTTGGTGGGTGAACAGATGTCTCGGGAAAGGCACCATGTATTTGTCTAGTGCTTGGTGCAAGGGATCTCTTCTTAGGAATTTGGACGTTGTCACGGTACAAACCCATTGTTTGGCACAGTTTGTGGGAGAATGAAGCACAGTCTAAGTTACCAGGTTGTGTAGGCTCGCTCTGTGTGCGTGTATGTCAGAGTTAACATCTGAAGCAGCTGAAGTTTAAATATCAGTTGCCTACGCTTGACACCCCACATGTGTTTCTAAAGAGAAATAAATAAAATCATAATAATTGGAGGGGAAGGAGGGTGGTGATGGATCCTGACTTTTGGAGAGTGAGAGTGCGTGCTTCTCAAGGGACGAAGCAGCATGGTTATGGATGCCTGCAGAAGAATGAATGGGAGAAGGAATGGTGAGGAAAGTGGAGAATAAAGGAGATGAAAGAAGAATGGGGGTAGCAAAGGGATAAGAATTGAGGAAAGGAGAGACAAAGGTGGGTGGAGAGACTTCTAGCTTGTGATACGAAATGAAAACAAGGTAAGAAAAGGAAAGGGTGGGAAAAACTCGATGAGAGACCTGCGCCGATGATTTTCAGGGTAGTTGTCCTGCGACAGGAACGAGTGGGGCACAGGGGGGCTGTGCGTGGATCTGTGCAGATGGGCACAGTTGCGTTAATGCCAGCCCACGCTTTGGGCCAAGCTGCTGGCCTTGCTAGCACTTTCTTTGCTGTACGTCTTCACCATCCTCCTCTTCCTCTTTTGCTGCCACACCATTTGTGTGGAAAGAGGCCCTCACTTTATTTTCCTGTCACTTTGTTGCCTGTCTGGGACAGAGCGACTGCCCTTCACTGCCTTCTTCTCTAGTCATCAAGGATGCCTGTAGGGTGTTTTTTCTTTACTATGATCCGTTCTGGAATCTTAGGATTATTTGCATATTTTACAATAGATAGTATTTAGTTGTGAAAAGTTCAGGTGCCTCTTACAATAATAAGAAAGAGCAAACTAATTGTAAAGGAAGAAGGAGACATTCAGGAGGAAACAAAACTACATAAATAACATGAATATTTTTAGAAAGGCTAGGGGAAAGTGTGTTGTGTTAGTAGGAATGAGGAAATGGAAATTATTTTTTTTTTAGTGGGACTGTTAGGGTGGTGATGTCTGATAGCCAGCACGGCACAGGCCAAGCAATTTCAGCATGTTCTGAACCACTGTGATAAATTTTGTGATGCAGGGCATCACTTCCCCCCCCCCCCAAGGGTAGACAAGAGCTTTTGAGTTAAGCTGCAGATAGTAGAATACTTCCCCATGCTTAGATAAACTATATACCATACAAATAGTTTCTTGCTCAGTTAAAACTTGCTTAGCTGCAGCTTCATCTTGTTATGCTTTTTGTGCTTGCCAAACTCTCTCTGGATCATAATTTTTAATGTTGTGCTCGGTTTCTTTCCACTTTTGGTTGACTAGATGAAGCATCTTTATAACAGTTCTGATTCTAAAGTTGCTGTACTGTCACTGTACTGTTTTGTTTTCTCCCAATTTATTGACGAAGCAATTACAGAATGTTGGTCTGATAATAGATCTGCAGAGTGAAACATTTTGCTGGGTTTTTAGGAAATCATTTTGCTGGTTTTAGCAGGGAAGGAACTCAAGTGACAGGGGTTTGTCTCATCAGTCCCCGCGGAAACCTGCCCAGCTAACGAGCCTCTGGAAGATCATTGCTCCTGCGTGCTCAGCCGCTTGTGTCTGTGCTGAGCCCCTGCTAGGCCAGAGTGGAGCTGGATAACGCCCCTCTCTGCCCTGCCGAGAGCTCTGGAGGCAGGGGGGCCACTGGCCTGGCTGAGGGGCTGGGAGGAGAGGGTCTCTGAAGGAGGGAGATGGCCCAGGCTGAAAAGGTGAGACCAAGCACATAGGGGTAAAGGGAGGGCAGAGGCTTTCCAGGCATTAGTCACAGGTGGTGGCAGATTTTTACAGTAGCAGCCGTAAAAACTAGAGCACAGTCCCTTTCAGGTTCTGCAGCAGAAGCAAAGTCCTGCCTGAGTCTTTCCTGCTGCTAGAACATCGCTGTGAAACGTGGCCGTAACCTCTGTGGGGTTGTTCTGCCTGGAGAATAGCATCCTACTGCGTTTTGTCCTAGCTCAGCTGCTCGCTCTATCTAAAAGGTTTCTAGCCCTGCTGAGGGAAAACTGACTGTATCTGGTGCAATTTGTGCTTTCACCGACTTTCCTTTTTAGAAGAGAAAAAGAAATGACATTAATCTTTTTTTAAAACCACAAAGTCAAGAATTTAGAAGTCGTGATCTTCCAGGATTAATAAACTCGGTGTAAATTTGACATACTATGTGCAGTGCAGAACAGATACCGTTTTCCTCTGGAGGATACCTGTCTCGTCTTCTGCAGGGGATGCTTTGGAGAGGAATGAAAAGTAGCATGCTGCAGTATGACCCACGTTTCATTTGCTGTATGAGTTGAAAGGTTTGGAGTTGAGGAGGCTGGGGATTGCAGGAAGGAAAAAGGCATGGTCTTGAGAATCCCAAGCTGGATTTCATCCCTGCCATAAGTTCCCTTTGTAAGCAATGCTAATTTTCAGGATTGTCCTCCTCATTGTCTTCTGAGATGCTTTTTTGAGCCATAGGGATGTAATCAGGTAGTCGGCTGCTTGAACCTTGTGTGAAGTCTGTTGTGCTGGACAAACGCGGAAGTGTCCAATTTAGGAATGTGCAGACAGCCTTAATTTTGCTGCTTACTAATTTTTTAAGAATTTGATTTTGTCAATGAACTGTCCTTGAATGAAGGGGGGGCGATGTTTATCTGCTGTGTGATTATGTATCTGGGTACTTAAGGACACCTACTATCTGAGCATTTTTCAGATGTTTAAATTAGAAATGGCAACAGAAATCTATTAAAGCAATAGCTTGTTTACCTACAAGGATTCTGTATGTAACTTTCTATATTTGTGAAAAAAAATAAGTTAAAGGAACAGCATCTGAGAACAGTGATACCCAGGGTTGGTTTTACCTCTTACAGGAATTAATTTCATGGCCTATGTGTAGTACTTGTTAAAATCTGCCTCTCGCATACAGACCTTCCCTGCCGGCTGATTGCATTTCAGGGAAATGGCTCTACTGTAGAAACATGTGACACTGAAAATAGAGGCAGCTGCTGGGACTGATGTATGAGACAGATTTGATGATGGGTAGACACACCTTCATTTACACTCTCTGTGTGTTGGAGAGTGGGTTTAGGAAGCAGACATGCTTATGTTGTGTTTCTGAAGAGCTTTTCCCCCCAGCTTTTTTTTTTTTTTTTTTTTAAAAACCTGCAAGAGATTTTTTTTTTTCTATTAGGTATGAAGGTGGCAACAATCAAGCTTGGACTTCAGGTTAATGCAGTGACACTAGATCTCAGTTTGATTAGACAGGCATGGCAAAATGAGAATTGTTTTTATCAGCTTTGTCAGTTGAGCATCTGGTAATGCCTAGGGGGTGAGTAGCATAGCGCATTGAAAATTAATTGACTATCAACTTCACACTGCTCATTCAGAGCCCTACAAACATTTATTATTCACAATGTATAGCACCATTCCAGGTGTTGGACAGATCACACTGAGATTACGGTGCAGAAGGCAGAACAAGGAACACGTGACAGAGGGTTAAGGCTGCTGTTCACTGCTCCCCATCCTGCCTCAGACTTGCTTTTTGGCTCTGCACAAAGCGTCTCCTGTCCCTTATATGTAAAATTGATGCCCTAAAACAGACTCACTTTTTAGTGAATTAGCATTTGATCAACTTTAATTTTTACATCCTTGTATAGAAATAACTAAATGGCATTATTTACAAGCTGTTGTAGTATTTTTTTTCATTACTGAATGGAGCTCGTGGATGGATATGTTGTATTATAATGACTCACTTCATTACAAATTTTGTTTTTCTGCTTTCTTAATGTAGGCCTTTCTGCATAGCAGCTGTTTTCTGTTAACTAGTATGTATTATATAGCTATGCTCCTGGATTAAATATATCAAGTTTTTATAGCCTCTCTCCTCTGGAGTTGACAACGAATGGAGGCACACGAATGTGTACCAGGAAAGGGTGTTGGGAATTGCTGGGCTTGTGTATGTTTTGTTGCCAGTCAAGTTAGCTTTTTTCCTGCCTTGGTGTTGTGGACAGGTTCCTGACTTCTCCATGTATCCTCCTTTCCCCGCAGGTATTGAGAACCTGCCATTTGAATTGCAGAGAAACTTCCAGCTCATGCGAGATCTGGATCAGAGGACGGAAGGTGAGGATTAGAGATGGTTCTAAGGAAGCGTGCAGCTTGACCAGCTTTTCTTTCCTTTGCCTTTATCATGGGGATCTCAGGGCTGGGGAGGAAGCCTGCAGTTGCTCTGATCCTTCAGTCTCTCTTAATGGAGGGCAATGTAGTGTGTGTGTTTATGTATTTAATGGTAAACTTGTTTCAGACCTCAAGTCAGAGATCGATAAGTTGGCCACGGAGTATATCAGCAATGCACGGACTTTGTCTTCGGAGGAAAAACTGGGGCTTCTCAAGCAAATCCAGGAGGCCTATGGGAAATGCAAGGAGTTTGGGGACGACAAGGTTCAGCTGGCTATGCAGACCTACGAGATGGTATGAAGGGAAGTTTCTAGTGCTTATTATATGAAAGACTGTACTAAAGCCCCCAAGCCTGGAGGGCCCTGATCTCTCTTTTTAGGCCCTTACTAGCCCTTGCTTCTCAGCTCTTAGTGCAAGCCCTGTGCCCTCTCCTCTTTGCCTTCCTGGGCTCTGTTCTGTGGTAACTCCTGGTCACTGTCGCCTTTGCAGGTTGATAAGCACATCCGGCGGCTGGACACAGACCTCGCTCGCTTTGAAGCAGACCTGAAGGAGAAGCAGATAGAGTCAAGTGACTATGACAGTTCTTCCAGCAAGGGCAAGAAGAGTGAGTACCACCACTGGGCTGCAGATTGATACAGGAGGCAGCCAAGTGACTATGGAAGTGGTGGGGATGAAGGCAGGCACTGGAGTGGTACAGATCAAAGACTGTTACGCTGGAATCTGAAGGACAGGTAAAAAGATGGTGACCTGGGCTCTTCTTGTGTGAGCATATTCAAGGCCGCTAGATAAAATTAAGATGGGGTGCATGGCCCAAAGCCAATATGCACTCTGAAGTAGGAGTGTATTTTAGTGCTGGAGAGGTTGTTACTATCAGGTGTCTGTTTTGATGGGGTGGCAGATGCAACACCTTTCTTTCTTCTTACCAGAGGGCCGAGCCCAAAAAGAGAAGAAAGCTGCCCGTGCTCGCTCTAAAGGGAAGAATTCTGATGAGGAGGCACCAAAAACTGCCCAAAAGAAATTGAAGCTTGTCCGCACGTAAGTGTTTAAGAGATTTGCGGGAATGAGGAGCATGACTGCAAATCAGACCCAAGGGAGGGCTAGCCAAACTTCCCTGCAAAGGATCTGATCCCTATCCAGACCAGACAGCGCATCCCCTGCCCCTTCTTGGGAAGCAAGAGGAAGGAGACCTTTTCTTTCAGGGGAGCATGGCATGAAGGGGAAAGCAGGTCACTTCAGTGGAGCTGGGTGTATGTTCGCCTCTGGCAAACAAGGGCATTGTCTTGGGACACATGAAGGGACTCTCGAAGCCAGTTCTTTTGCTGACCTACTTTATTCCTGTCCTGCAGTAGCACAGAGTATGGGATGCCTTCGGTCACCTTTGGAAATGTGCACCCTTCAGATGTATTGGATATGCCCGTGGACCCCAATGAGCCTACTTACTGCCTCTGCCACCAGGTCTCCTATGGGGAGATGATTGGCTGTGACAACCCAGATGTAAGAGCCTGCACTTGATGGAAATGGGGGAGAAGGGAGCAGGGAGAGGCTTGCACAGAAAGCCTTGTCCTGCGTGGGTGGGGCCTGATAGAGCAAGCAGTGACAGGAAGAGGGCTTGCCTCAGATAGTTTGGAAGGGCAGAGGGGTAGCTTGCTAGGGCCCGGTAAGTGCATCTTTCTTCAGGGTTTTCCTTAAAATGACAGGTTGTTTTCTTGCCCCCACTCTTAGCAAGGGAGGAGGAGAGTTATTGCTAACAATGTGTAGGTTGGGTGTGAGTCTTCATTCCCTGATCACTGCTAGGGATTTAGGAGTTTGTGATCAAATGTTGGGAAGCTTCAGTAGCCCAGAAGCAATGATTTCAAAAGAAAAGTGTTCTTTAACTGACTGCTCTCCATCCCAACAGTGTTCCATTGAATGGTTTCATTTTGCCTGTGTGGGTCTGACAACAAAACCAAGAGGAAAATGGTGAGTGAACAAGCAACCTGGAGGGCCCCCTGGTCTTTGGAAAGGGGAGGTCCTGGGTGGCAGAAGGGCGAGTACTGTATGTACACACTTAGAAGCCCTCTTAAAAAGGAAAATTTGACTTAAGGCTTTGTCTGGGACCTTGGAAAAGGTCCTTTGGGACTGTATGTTTGAGGTTTGAGGTTCCTGTCATGCCCTAAATTCTGGCTTTTTACTTCCTTTTCTACCAGGTTCTGCCCTCGCTGCTCCCAGGAGAGGAAGAAGAAGTAAAATCCCGTGAGCCCTCAGTACTGCTGCAGGAGCTCTCTTCCCCCTGCCAGGGCCTCATCACAGCTCCCCCAGCCCTTGGGGCCTTGGCTGGGGGGAGTCTTGCCCTGTTTGTGGTTTGGGCCATCCCTGGAATGGTGTGTACCCTCACGGTGGTTCCTGTGTGTTCTGTATCCCTGGTTGCTTCCGAATCCCTAAGGGAGACCCTCTCTGTGTACTATTCCAAACAGGTCTCTGAACCTCAAAGGGAATGAATGAGGGCACCAGGGTAGCCACCAGATTCCCAGGGATTCAGGTAGCCCCTGATTTTCCTTGGCTTTCCTTCAGCCTCCTCAGAGTTCATTGCCTACTCTCTGCTTAGAGAACAAGGCTATGGGATGGGGGAAGGAAAGGAGGTAAGTCTTCAGCATTTTAGGTCTTTGATTTTCCTGGATCTTTCTCAGGAGAGAGGGAGTAACCAGGCCACTTCTTAATCTAGTGGGCTGGTTGAGAGACTTAAAGCCTAATGTACTCCCTGTCTTTAACCATTCCACTACTGGCATTGAGCAGCCTCTTTTTTTGGGTGAGAGGAGGAGAAGGGAGGAGCATTTAGAGCTAGCTTTGTCTCTCTTGTTCCTGGGGTAAACCTGCTGGTCTGGGAAGCACATTGTGTGAAGGAGGAAGAATTTCTGACCACGTGGGGAGAAATGGCTTGACCTAGCCTGCCTTCTGGCTCCAAAATTCTCCCTCCCTTTTGTGCAGTGGGGCTTCTCCATTATGTTGATGATGGGAAGTTTTGGGGATTCAGATCCCACTTGTATAATACAGAATTAAATAAAGTTCATTGAAACAAATACTGTGTTTGCCTTGCTGTCACCTCCAAAGTAAACTGTGGCAATTGGTCTCTTCAGTTATTCCTTCTCTCAGCTGTGCTTTTATTGTAAATGATGAATGTGGTACAGCGTCTTCACGTAACAATCTTGAACACTGTTAATAAGTGACTTTCTGCCTAAGTCAGGCTTAAAAACATACCCAGTACACTTGCAGAAGGTTACCAAACTTTCTAGTGGCTGTGAAAAATACCTGCTCCTTCAGTTGTGCCCCCACAAGAGGGTGGACATTGATTCAGATTTTTGGTGGATTGTTTACTTCATTAGTTCTCTCAGACGAGGCGAGGTGGACGTTGTAGAATGCCAACCCTAACTGTGGCTGTTGGGCAGCACAGCTGACAAAATAAGCCATCAGGACAAACCACGTGCATCCAAGAATGTGGATGGGTTTTGCAGATATCCTGATGACTTGCTCCCCAGTGGGTCACTTTCCCCTTGGATCACCTTGTTGCCAGAAACTCCAGCTGTTGTCACTGAGATAATGTTATGGTCCAAAACAATTACTGAAGACACATTTCCCTTTGTAGCGTCTGCAGGGAACTGTGAGGAGATGATCCATACTGAAGCTGCCTTTTGTCTGTTCCATTGGCATGGCCTGGGGATTGATGAGTTTGAGTCTCTTCTTCCTGCTTGTTCTCTGCTGTTCAGGAGGGTTTTAGCTTTTCACTTGAGACATGAAATGTTTTCCTCACATAGATAGCTTGAATGAGGATCAGTGGAGCATTTTTGTTCTTGTAGTCATGAAGCCAAAGCTCTTCTAGGGGTTCATTATTAAAACCTTTCAGAGGACTCTGTAGGTGGAGAACAATGCTACTCTCACCTTGTAGTTGTAGAGGGACCCTGTCCAAGCCATCAGCTCAGAAGCTGGTGTTAAGTCTTCTCTTCAAGCAAATTAGCACTGAGTCAGCCCTTGCTTTTACTTCGGGAAGGGGTGCTCAGGTTCCCAGTTTGTCCAGAAAAAAAGAGAGGCAAGTTCTTACCCAGACTATGTCTCATATGGTTTGTGGTACCGCTGCCATGGTCTGGATCTCAGTCCCAGGTTGTCTTAAACCATTTTCCTGGGGTTAAACAGAGAGGAAGTAAGTCCTGGAAAATGTTGGTTATGTGCATGATGCAGTCTTCATAACAGGAGATGCTGCGCCATCATCCAGTGGGTGAGAAGGCTGGGGCGGGAGAACAGATTTGTTCAGCTGGGGTTTATCCAGGTACCAGCTGGGTGCTCAAATAACAGGACAAAGGGAGGATGTTGTCCAAACTTGAAAATGGGCCTTGGGCAAAGTGCGAGGGTGACAAAGGATGCAAACACTCGTCTAAGTGGTTTGGTTTTGATGGGATAGGACGCGTGATTGCAACGGCCACCATTAGCAGCAAGCTTCCTAGGAACTTCAGGCTAGAGAGGTGTTTGAAGTGGTGGCCCAGTAACGTAAGCCACTGCTGATGAAGGATCGGAGGTCTATAAACGCATGTGGTGTGATGGGAAAGCCGTGTGAGTGGGCAGGGGTGTGTTGCACACCAAACCAGGAAACAAGATGGCCCATTGCATAGGTGCTGTTTACCGCGCAGGAGAAACCGTTCGGGGTGGCTCTGGTTTAGGATAGGCATGCGCTGGGTCTTCTGGAGGATGCTGAAAGGGGGAGGCAGACCAGAATGCTCCTGTTTTCAGGCTAAAGCTTGGGCACAGGGTTACCATTGTGCTTCTTGGGATGCCGAGAATCGGAACATCCTGATGACTTTGAATGCAAAACAGATGAGAAACACCTAGGCCAGGTTCTGATTCAGACCCAGAAAATGGCAGGGGGTGCTAGCGGGAAGCTCCACTCACCCCCCATCCTGCTGCTGCATCCTGCTTCTGTCTGATGAAGGGGTGCTTCAGCCAGCAGCGTGGGGCATTCAGGGATGTTGGTGGCAGCTGAGGGAATTCTCCGGAGAAGACTTACAGGAAGAGGGAATTTACACAAAAATGCAGATGAAAACTGAGGATTTTTAAATGGCTTACAAGTATAAATGCAAACGAAAGGACATTAAAAGCTAACCTTGGAAGAGAGGGAATAAGGGCAGTAACTCTGTGATATTTAATCACTAAAGGGGGGGGGAAATAATCGAATCAACAGAAGCTAGAAATTACAAAGTACAAGAATGAAGCCAGTGGGAACAAAGCCTATGAGCGACAAGGCTAGAAACATAAGCAGCTTTTTTTAGAATGCCTTTTGTTTTTGATATAATTGAACATGGCACATGTCCATTACCAACTGCAGATAGCAGAATTGTTTGTAATGAGAGGAGGGGGAAGTGTTCTGTAAATATTTATTCTGTGTTGGTGCTGGTGTCATCTGGGGATGATGTACTTCCTAGGCAAACAGTAAGGAGGATTTTAAATAGCATCTATTGGGGTGAACGCTTTTTTGATCCTCAGTCTTCATTAGACGGTGTTTGTCGTCCTGTGAAAGCCACCCGAAGGCATCTGTGGTCTGCTCTCTGACAGTCTCTGGACTGCAAGGGAAAGCCTAAAAGGCTGGAGAAGAGCCAGGTCTGTGCTGGTCCTTAACGAGGTTGAGAAGGCTGCCGTAGCAGTCCAGATGTGAAATACAGAAATGGCAGTTAAGCAGATTGCTTTTCTTTAAAACAAGCAAGAAATCCATGCCAACAAAACAAAATCAGTTTGACTGGAAGGAGTAAAAAAGGTAAAAAATTACTTTACTTGTTTTTTGTTTTTTAAAGATCACTGTTAATAGTTACCTGTATCACTGTTAGCGGTAATGGGATCTGAAAGGTCTACTTCACCTAGAACTGAAGGGCTTAAAAGAGGGGATACACAAAGTAATCATGAACTCCTTTAAAGAAGTGGCTAGCTTGCAGATTTCCTGGAACAGCTGTCAGTCCAACATAAACACTTTCTAAAATGGAGCTGGAGAAATTGCCCTTTTAGAGTGATTGGAAATAACCTGGTTGGTGAGTAAAGTCAGGTCTGAGTTCCAGGAAGCTGGAGCCATACAGCACAACAAGAGGGAAGACTTTTGCCAGCCTCTTCAATATTTATTCATAATATTTGGTCATGCACACAAGTGACCAGTTTATCTTGTCCTGCGGTGATTGCCCAACTTCGGGCATCATTCCTAGGTAGCAGGGCAAGCAGTGGTTGGGCAAGGCTGTTCAGCAAAGTATTCCCCTTTCCAGTGAGCAGGTACCCTCAGCAAGATCCTGTCCCCCGCGCTCCGCCACCGCCATGGCTGCTGCGTGATGTGCACAGAAACCATCCCGGCCACGACCATCGCCTCTCACCAGTGGGGCCTTCTTCATCTGTTACAAACACAGCAAGTGATTAAACTAGCCCCATAGCTCAGCGACATTCAGCCTTCAATTCAGCGCTCTTAAGATATTATTTACCTAACTATACGTTCAGAGCCATGTGGTCGACAGTCTCTTACTGCCTGTTAAACAGGCTGTGTAAGGCTTCTGTGCTTAAGCAGACTATTTGAGGCTCGATCATAGAACATGTTTCAGCAATACTTAGGTTATCGGGGATGAATTCTTATGAGGCAATTAACTGCATATAAATATATGTACCTTAGAATTGGAAACACTGATTGGAAGGTACCCTCAGAGGTCATCTGGTCCAGCTTCCCCTTCAAAGCAGGGCTGCTGTCGGTCCTAAATCAGGTGAGAGGTATGCTGGGTAGCAAAACGCTCTGTAGCAGAGCACGCTAGGATAAGGAGCAGCGGCTGCGTGGCTCCAGGTTGAAAGGTGATGTTGCCAGAGATCTTAAGGCTTCAAATCAAGATTTGAATGCTTGCCAGAGATCTCAAGTTGGCAGCAGAGAAGAAAAACATTCCCCGGAGAGAACTTGCTTATACTGGCTGAAAATAAGACCAGGTCCTCTCAAGATGTTTCTCATTGCAGATATGCAGGTATACATTGTCAAGAAGTCGTAGTTACAGGTGACATCAGGATTGCTCCCCTCTGAGAGCAGGGGTGGCACTTCCTCCGAGTCCCAGAGAGGAGGGATACGAAGGGTATCAAGTTATTGTCTTGGCTAAGCGAAGCTTCAGCCAAAGAACAGCAGGGGGTTGCGGTGACTAAGCCCAGACCACGATGCAACCACGGTGAACAGTCCTGTGCGAACTGGCAAACAGGAGCGCTGGCGTTTCATTTCTCCTGGAGCAGGGCAAGGCACGCTGGTCACGTACCAAAGCGCTCATTGGTAAATCGTTTAACATAGCGTGATTACCCAAACTTCAGTGCAAGCTGAGATTGAGGGCTCTGCACGAAGCAGACCTGTCTGGTTTGACAGTTTCTGAGCCCTCGTCCTTTGTATAACCAACCACGGAGTCTACCTTTTCCCTGCCCCATGAACCAGGAGGACAAACTGTGGAGATGTGGACAAGCTGAGCGGCAACACCTGGGGAGCATGTGATCCCCGGCTGTTGTAAAGCAGCGGCAGTAGGCAAGGAAGACTGCAGCATTTGAAGAGTTAAAGACTAATGGAAGGAAACAAAATGCCCTATCATTCTTTCCAAAGACAACTGAAGGAAGTTTCTCCAACTCCGTTGCCTGGTAGTTACAGTATTAGAAGAAACATAGCTGGTTTTATCAAATAAAATGCATTTAATTTATAAAAATAGTCAAACATCTTGATTAATTTATGCAAACTTATGTTTATTCTTCTGAATACATAAAGAAATTTAAGTCTCAGTTTAAAAAAGACATCTTTGCCCAAGTCTTAAGGACAGGCAAACCTGTGACAAACACTAAGCTCCTAAAGCCTACTGTGAAAAAAATGCTCACCGAGTTGCCCGCTTTGGTCTGGTCTTGCAGATGTACAGTTTAATTTCAGTGGTTTGGGTTGCTGCCATTGAAGGAATAACACATTCAAAGCTGAAAACCAGGCTGGGAGGAGAAAAGGCTGGAGTTATTATTTACACATTGACAACAAGT